CCTGTGGATTACATTAGTTAATCTACATGATAACATACCTCCATAATAAATCATATCATTTTTAACCTAAAAATCATACATTTTTGAAGGTAATCGGTATACCTATGTCACACTTTCTTTATAGATGAAAGGTTACCTCGAATCCTTGATTGAAATTACTAAGATAATCGCCTAGATAAATATTATCTTTATTACTTAAGATAATTATGTTTTTGATACGATTTTACTTGATTTTAGTACCCAAAAGAGCCGCGGTTTGATTATTATTTACAAAGGCACGCACTCGAACAATTTTACAGTAGGTACACTAGATGAACAGGCAGCCATCATGTTTTTCTTTAGACCAAAGGTTATTGATAAAATCGTGATGCTAACAAAAATACAATGAGTCATTCCTTCTTCCACGGGCCAATGGCCTGTTTTTTGTGGCCTGCAGTACATCACATCGAGTGCTCCTATTAACTACGATATTACACTGTAGTGAGTAATACATTTTTTGTTATCAAATTAAAAATACACATTAAAAACGGCGCTTGCGATTATTATTTTGAATTAAGAATGATCAACCGTTAGCGTGTCAATCATTCGCGATAGATGTCATCTTAGATTGGTAAATTAAATTTGATATTGTTGACAGTTGAATGGTTTGTCAAACGGAAATGTCACATGGTAATTATATGAACCTAATCTACGAACTAGGTATCTGAGTAACTATTGATACTATTGATGATGAAGATGATAGTAAAGAGGAAAAAAAAAACTATTGTACGCGATAAAATATCATTATACGATTACCTACAACCATAAATAATAATAATGAATTGACTACTACTATGGAATAAAAAAGCTATGATCGTCAAATATGTCAGGAATGTGGAAAATGACAATTTGGTTTTTTAAACAAAGTAAAGGATACATTAAATTCAACCGGCCATCAAATACATAGTCAACTATGTTTGCAGTGCGTCGAAAGTATACCGTCGTATCACGTTAATTAATATTAACTACCAGTTACCTACAATATGCAAATAACAGGTTTAAGTAGTATTTAAATATGTTCGATATAAATGCCGTGTAATGATTGATTAAAAAAAAATAGATGAAATGACATTCACGCGTAACTGTCAGCTAGCAAATTCAGCTTCCATTTTTTAAATAATTAGATCGCCTTTTGCTTTTTCTCTATTCTTTTTTTAAATTAAATACTGGAATCGAATTTCGAATTGGCAAATTGTGTTGTTTCTCATTAGCGTAAATCGAAGTAATTAGTTTACTATTTTATTTTTTACAGTCGAGTTTTCATAGTCCAAAATAAACTACGGAAATTGGGTTTATTTATAAATCGCGTTAACTATACCAATTGAAACAATAAACTCTAAATAACATAGAAACGTTAGCACCCAGGATATATCGCCCAGTTTAATCTTTCAGTAGGTGGTCTAGAGAAGGATGTGTCTAACTAGATTCATTCTACAAATGTGCCTAATATAACTAAAGGACACAATTGGATAGATTGTTGCGTAGGAGATAGGCAGATTTTATTTCCTTCAGCTATTTATATCAGTGACTGACTGGATTTTATTGATTAATGGGCAAAAACTGAGGCCTCAAGCTTGACAATAAATTTATTACGAATTTGGTAAAACACCTATTAGGAGCAGTGACCAACTACTACGCAATGCATAGCGAGGTTTTCAGTTCGGCAGCATAAGTAGTTATCTAGCCACCTACTTATTGGTGTTTGGAGATATTCTTATTTGAATATCTTTTGCCTGATGAATATTTCAGTTGCATGAGTATTGTAGATCTACTCTTTATCGTAATTAACTAACCTATGATACATACGGTAGGTGTATTTATTAATGTTTTTTTAAACGAACTTTTCCGCACTAGGACTTTCTCCTGTGTCGAGGGTGTGTTTATAAACATACAAATTAACATACACATGACATCCAGACCCGGTGCAACAATCTGTGGTGTTCCGTGTGGGAATCGAACCGTGCCAACCGTGCAGTCATGTCAATGTTGTGTTTACAAACAGACCATCACGACACCCAAATAGAATGTCCTATCAATTAGGAACATTTCTTCTACATCAACAAACGCTACTCGTGTATAAATAATATTTAGATGCTATTGTCATCTCAGGTCATCTGCTCTCTGTGTACGAGACGTCCGACTTACATAGACACTTGTGACATAATGCCTTATATCATTAATCGAATAAAAAAAAACAACATATCATTAAAAGTACTACACTACGCAGCGAAAGGGAGACGGGAAGCTTTCACATGTATGGGTAATCCTTTCACTGATCCATAAACCAAACAATGCTACAAACACTGTAAAATAAACCATAAAATCAACTTCTTGTAGTTTACTTTCGATTGTGCAGTTGCATTGGGTTCGACCTGTCAAACTCTATTGATTGTCCAAAAAAAAGATGGCCGCTGGTAGCTACAGTCGTAATCGTGTAATTGGTGGTTAGAAAGTTATTTGTGTAATAATAATAACATAAGGAAGAGGAAGGAAAAATAATATTTCTATTAGATTCTACCAGTTATGGTTTTAGTATCATAAAAGGCCTACTTTAATAAACCTACTGCTGCTAGTCTACTAGTCTAAGTTGGGACTCATAAATTCCACATAAAAACTCAAGCCTTTTGCACAATTGTGGACTTGACAACTAGTCAAATTCAATACTTTTTTCGAAATGTCAAAATCGACAGTTTCTATGAATTTTGTACGGGATTGTGTATTGTGACGTCACGTTTTTTAGAGTCAAACAGCATGCTTATTTCTTAAAATATTACTGGAAAAATATTAAAATTAAGTTAGTCATAAGATCAATTAATTAAAGTGTGATTATTGTTTTAATATTTTATTGTATTGAACTGTCGAAATAAATTATTTTTTGATTAAGGCAATTACCCAATTGTGACGTATCTATCATTTCATGTTTTATATAAAATGACATTGACTCAATATCATCTGCTAACACGTATATATTTACGTAAGTGCATTTTGTATCGGCTGTAGAAACCACAAAGAAATTAGATTCATTTTGGCATTTCTCCAGGAGTGAAAGTAATCAATTACTGGTAAATATGCAAATAGATATGTAAGTATAAAACTACTGTGTAGTATGTACCTATGAGAGAAACAACACCGAAACATTTAAAATATAAATAACTTTCATATATAAAATCCAATGAACGTTGCTGTTCGTCAGTTTTCGTGAATTATTAATCTGCAGAATTCTTCCAAAGAGATTTAAAGGTATAAGATTTTTTTTTAATTTTTTCTCTACCAATTGCTTCCATATCCATCAGATAAACTACATACAAACGTACCTAAGCAATGCTATAATTAGACAAATAAGTAATCGCAGTAATCATTCATTTGTAAGCAGATCCCGTAAATCTTTGCATCGTTGTAGTTCCATCTTCCGTATAAAGTATCACAATTATTTAAACACGTCCATTATATCTCGTATAATTTAATAAATTGTGGATATAAATCAATAATACGTAATACGAATCAACTGTAATATTATATTCACACGCTAAGAAATGTCTGCGAAGTCTTTACGACAAACAAATAAATCTATTTAAACAATAAACAAATTCAAAATAAAGAAGAAAGATAAAATTTGTCATTATGTAATTAAGTTATTTCCAAAAGTTCTCAGTTCTATGTAAACAAAACGCAGCAAAATAAAAAAAAATCGCTCGATATTTATGGTTCCATCTGTCAGTGCACAACTACTGCACATAAAACATTAGACAAATTACGCGGGAAAAATTAATGGCGGAAGATGACATATGATGTCTAGAAGATTCTCGGACAGTATAATCAGTTGTAAATGAAAAGAATAATTAATTAATTGTAATTTAAGTCAGTATAGGTAGTTTTATAACAACATCAGACGTATGTCGTGTATCAGTTTTCCCCATGATATCATTGTTGGTTACTTATATTTATGTATGCGCTTATTTACGTAACTGTTGTAAAGAGTCAACTTGGCTATTGTAGTTTTATACTCTTCACTTTATTTTTCTGTTCTTTTCTCTCAGTTCGTTTTCATATTTGTTGCTGATGGCCAATGGCATTTTTCACTCGCTATGTCAAATAAGTTGTACCTATTTGTAAGTTGAATTCGTGTTGTAAAACTGACCCGACTATGTAACGAAGGTTAATTTTTGTTACCATATAAGAAATATCCAACCTGTAAATAATTCACAACCTTATTCTAACAAACCACCAGTACCAACGGACAGTAACAAAAAGTCAAATACCACTACAAAGTAAAAAAACGACAACACAAAACCTATTCCAGAACGAAAATCAAACACCCTATACCAGTACTTAAAAAAAACATACCTAAAAAATAAATAGACAAATAGTGACGTGCAAGCGACAAACATGACATGAAAAGCCTTTTCAACCATAAAAATAAGATAGTGAGGTGCACAAATGTAAATGAAGTGCTGACCCAACCTATATAGTGGGGGTATAATGTATCCATAGGGTAACCTATGGCACACTCGCTACTTTAATAGCGCATCCTTATATGGAATAACAATGTGATGTGAAGAGGAATCGGTTGGGTGTAAAATGAACATTCGTTGTGCGTTCTTTCGGTGATTGCTTGGAATAAAGACAGGTATATGAAAATCTATGATGGTGGTTTTGTTAATACAAATCGATGTTAATGGACCAATTGTAGATAATAAATAAATGAATTTTTGCAATTAATTTCCTTTCTCGATAACAGTGATGCGAATGAATTCCTGATGATTTTTCTGTGTTTTCTATATGTAATTAATTTAAAAAAATATATCTTATATTTCGTTTCCTTTTTGGGCCCACCGAAACCTCTCCACATTCATATAACCCTTAAAAGGCAGATAATAAAGTAGCGGTTTTCGAATTCTCATTTTTTGCGAATTCCTGACGTCACAGTGCAGTAAGCCCCTCATGCCATGCGTGGCGCTTACCCTGCACTGGCTTGGGGCCTGGTCGAGCTGCTGCCGAAGTCTCACCCTTGGACTCGGGTGCGGCCTCACCGGATTCTACATCTGCAATCATACTATGGTGTGAATAAAACCACTTTAGGAAGACGTTCCTTATTAAAACTAAACTGGATAACCCAAAAGGAGAAAATTGATAGTACATCAAGAAGATTTTATAGACAAGCGTGCAAATAGTTATAATTTATAAACTACAATACGTTGTTCATTAAATTACATCATTATTTAATATTAACGATGCAAACAGAACAAAATATTGAAGTAATAAAACATGGCTACTTTCTTTTACAAATGCAGCCACATTAATATAAATCAAGAGTTCATTAAATCCTCGAATTAAAATGCAATCGAGTCCAATTCGCTGTTAAAGTAGAAAGTTAATACAATAATAACAGTGTTCTAATGTCCGGAATTAATATATAATATATGTATATCTTTTCTAGTTAATACAACTAATCCATACCAATCACCGACTGTTGGTTGTAACAGTTAATGGACTGACATAACTATAATCGCCAGTGGCGCCGCTTTGTAAGAACTAAATACGCAAATTTTACTCCATTACACTACGATGCCCTTAATAATTTACCTAGAGGGAGTTACTTTATTAATGTATTCAATGATTGACTGCTCTACTTGAGATTAGACGTATCAGTCTTTCATTCAGTTCAATAATACGAATCAATATTGATTAATGTGAACTAATCCAGCCAGAACTTGTGATAACTCGATTCAACCATTACGATTATCTCTCAAAATGAACGAAACTTCAGATTTTGGTACTTCAATCTTCATTTGAGTTATTGCATTAGGCATACTCCATTAGATTGTGGTATGTGGTTTGTTTCCTCTTGTCCCTGAGATGATTTGGTCAATTACCTCTACAATTATGTGGACTTGTCCAGCCCTGTAGTTGAGCGTTCAAAATATATGTATGAGAGTGTAAATATGGAAAGAATTAGAGCTTTTTGTTGGCATTAAATTATTTCAGACTAAGTAAGAAAAAGGTGAGTTTACCTACATTGTACCTACGTAAACATGGCTGTCATTACAATCATTAGATCCTATTTTTCTCAAGAGCAATTAAGTGCTAGAAAAATCTTAAAATCGTTAAGTATTACCGTCACCGGTCAGCGCGCACGCTGCCAGTCTGCGGGATTCCCAACCATTATTAATTAGCCAAAATTACAGACTTAAACAATTCCAAATAAAACACTGCATCATTATGAATGATTATTTTATTTTGTAATGACTTGCGCCGCACATTAGCGGTGACCCTAACTAATTTGAGCGTACTTACATTTTAGGTTTTTTTCCAAAGCAATTATTTACGGGTCAAAAATAAGTTCTAAAAGTATTGTAGGTAATGGGCACAGTAGTTTTATTGTTTCCGTCTATTACTTTATTCATTTTTAAACAACATGTATCTATAATTGCGGAACAATCGTACCTATTTATTTTGTTTCAGATGTTTGTTAGCCTTACACTAGATAAATGCAGTAAAATAACTCAAATTCTTATGCCAGAACTTTATATTCGAAACTGAACATCAGGGTCTGCTATGTTTAGGGTTGATAATCGGGGGTAAATATCCACTTAACACCTTGAACGCCATGGGAGACAAGGTATGGGCCACGATAGCAGTGAATTTACCCTCAACAGTTTTCTGTCGGCAGTCAAGGGCTTAATTATCCACTTCTACAAAAACAATGACGAAGTGAACGAAGTACCTAACTCTAATCATCAAATCTCTACGTGGATAAATTTATTAATTTTCGTAAAAGAATATGCACGCTTTTTGCCCCAAAAACCCTGCTCAATCATTTTGATTAAATTCATTTCGTACGTCATTATTGTCCTAAGTTTGACAAAAAACTTGTATCAATCATGAAAATAACATATCGGCACATAATTTGTAATTATATTTCAGTAATTATGTATATCTAATGAGTTTGTTTTGACGTATCTAACATTCTATTATTTTTCTGTTGTGGTAGAAAAAGTAACTGTTATTTGTATGAGTACCCGTCTTTTGTTTTTTTATGTCATTCCTGTTGGTAAGACAAATTCATAGAATACACAAATTAATAACATGCCAAAACCAATCCTAATGCATTGTAATTAGGTAAATAATCTCGTTATACAAATGTTATCAGTGAACATTTTGGAATTCATGTAAAACATGTATATCTGATATGATAGGGAATCAAAGTTTAGTAATTATTAAAAGGATTATTTATGTTTCTTTTTTGTGATAACAGTTGAATGTTATTCACATATTCGTCAAGTACTTTTCTGACGGTAGCCAAGTAGTACTAGGTATAGTAGACTAATAATAAGGACTACTTTTTAATCCAGGGACATCAGGTCATTGATTCAATTTTAGGCTCTATTAAGCAATCTATAAGGTTTATTATAAGAGCAACCGTAGTCTACATGCTATGAAGTTTGATACATATTATGTAGGTTGCAAGCAATTCGAATTTAGAAATGATCTAAAGAGATGCTACCAGAGAAAAAATAGGAATTCTTCAATATCTAAATCGCTTCCTATGCCGTCATAGAATAAAATCAATAGCAACACAGACTAAAATGTTTTACTATTAAAATCACGACTAAACAGTCTAGTCATAAGAACAGAGTTTATTTCGCATAAGGAAGACTGTGTCAAATGGTATTCATTAACGAAACACATTCAATCAATTGGAATCCGAATATAATATGTAGGTACTTCAAGATCACACGGAAGATTGTACAAGAGTAATTGATTGGCATCTTTGATTATTTTGTCCTGTGTATTGTTGACGATAAAAATAATATATTTTAATATAAAACAAAAGTCATATTGGTTACATTGCACTGAACACATACGTACAGTATTGGAATATGAATATGTATCAGATACATTGTAGAACATGCTTTTTTAAAAAGAGTAACGAATGGAGTTTCTTGCTCGTTTTTCTGCATTTGAATCTACATTTTGGAATGAGCACCTAGCTTCTCCTAGCTTTACTGACGGTCTCACCGACACACTATTATTTATTTTGTATTTGTTGACGTTTCAAAAGTATCAAATTATGGTTTAATTGAATGCTTTGACTTTGATTGTTTGTAGCCTATTTACACCTGCATGAGTGGTTGATTTTAGATTGAATCATTTGGTCGTACCTATATAAGTCCTGGATTTCAAGAATAAACTAGATACGTAGCCTTTCACAAGGAAAACTATCATTTTCAAAAACTTACAAGTTTCTTCTAAACTAATGCCTTGTTCGCACTATGCTAGTATTTTAGTCGAGCAGTGATTGTTTAGAATATCCCTTTCGCTTCTGTCCTTTGGGACTAAAGTCGAAGCGAAAGAGAGTTACTAAATACTCGCTACTTAACTAAAATACTAGCATAGTGTAAACAAGGCACTAGTGACTTCTCCACTATACCTACTAAATTTTTCCAAAATTACAGCATAAAATTGAAACAAAATCTATGACATACCAGTGTTAATTGAACTCGTAGAATTCACAAACAGGGTCGCTCCAGGCAGATCACAAGATATTGTATTTATTTTCATTTTATCTTTTAGACAACACACTAAACTAGACTAACCCTTACTAAACCTTTTGAAAACCTGATTATCATGACTTGTATTTCATATTTAATCAAGTAAATAAACCTCGTTCTCTGCCTACCCACTTATGTATTTCAATATTTGTTCAGCCACTGTCTTACGCAGTTACTGTAAGGATTACAATGTATGCTCACCTTAATATGTTATAATGTACCCACTGGAAATAAGTCGGGCATATTTTATGGGCACTTTCTGTTCAAATATATTATTAGAATAGATTTAGTTGTTTGTTACTTTGTTTTAAGAATATTTACTATGTTCAACCCTTGTAACTATTTCTACTAGTAATTCAATTCTACATTTTAAACGTAAGAACAGCTCATACATGTCGTTAAATTTTCTATTAGAAAACTCGAGGGAAACAATAACGGTAGTTCGTTCTAAAATTAAATTTCGATAAAAGCAACAGAAGAGAGAATCAGATAATCAGTTAATTCTTGACTGTAGAATTAAGAATAAGAATCAGTTAAAACGATGGGAGGACGAACTATGACTAACAGCGGGTCCCAGCTGGAGAAGAGTGGCCCACAACAGAGTTCACAATAGACAGCTAGAGGAGGCCTTTGCTGAAACCAACAGGCACACTGAATTAAGAGATATACTTTTAGTAACAATTCTTAATATAAAAATTTAGAATAAAAGGCTTTATTAACTGTAGAATAAAATTGACATTTCTTTGATTTGAGTATGGAAGAATTGTCAAATATTAAAATTTAATACTCAGTTAAAATTTATCTGGCGTTAGAAAATTTGTACTATAGCTGAAGTCATTAGATCACCCACGTAGCTTAATATTATTCTACACTATATCACACACACTTTTCTTACAATTTACAGGAGAACCAATTACCTTGCTCCAATCAGTCGCGCCTGTTACAGTTACAAGTATAACATTCACAGTTAATAACTGCTAATAAGTAACAATCAGTCCGATACAAAACTAGTTAATTATAAAACCATCGCGTTACTCGCATGATCTTCAAACCATTACAATAGTTGAATACTTGATTGGCTACAGTCCATCACTTGTACGTATTAACTAGCATTACTTGTCATGAAATGAGTAGCCGTTGCCGTGACGTACAATGTCTCAAGTAGATATATACCTATTATTCTAGTGTCACCAATGAAAGGACTTTTGACAGACATGTCTGCTTTACTTCCGAAGATCTGTTGTGCTGTGTAAAAATGCGTGTTGTGTGGTGATTGTTCTAAGGTAGGACGAGGCACATAAATGTATTAGAAGTTGTTAGAAAATGTTTACATAAAAAAGAAGAATTGGTTTAACGATAATCTTAGGAACTCTGATCCGATTTAAATAATGATATTGGATTTATCGAAGAAGGTTATAAAACATCATGCTATGTCCAACAGGAGCCGAACACCGGGTCAAACCGCACGGGACTAGCTAAGTTAGAATAAT